GGTAATTTTAAATGTCATATAATATATCATATTAATGCTTTTAATTTATAAACTACAAAATAATTAAATGATTAAAAGTGAATTTAATTTAGATAGATATTCTAAGTGCGTAATATAATCGTGTTTTATCGAAAACCGTACCGGTTAAATTCCAGATACGTATACCGTCATTGCGGCTCATCTCTGATTCCAGCAAACAAAAGAAAGGAAACAGTGGGGACGCACGTTCTAACCTAACCTAACCTATTCTAATAAATTACCATAATTATTACCAATGAAATTATTAGAATAGGTTAGGTTAGAACGTGCGTCCCCACTGTTTCCTTTTGTTTGCTGGAATCAGCACAGCCTACAATAAGAACAGCCTAGTTAAATGGGGGAAATCCTATTGAGGTGTTGTGTCCAAGCGAAAATATTTTCTCACGCTAGATGGCGCCACACAACGGACCATTACAACACATTGATTAAATTATCCTATCTATATGCTGTCGTATACTGTATTCGTAAAACAAAACAGAAATTCAAACTTAGGATATAGCAAATTATTGATTTTTTTAAGAGGGATTTTTTTTTAATTTTTTAAAATTATTGACGGTTAAATCTAGATAATTATTGATAATATGTCTATTGTTTTAGATAGTTCTGCAGAAATCTGGAAAAAAATCTTAATTAATGCAATAATTAATAGGGTAGATGTACTGTACTGTACCTATTTTGGCCACATTAAGACAATTTTCAACTTTAAAAATATTTTATGTTCTTACAATTTTTTAAAGCAATGAAACATAGTAAAAATAATACAAAAACATGTTCTCTGTTACTTTATTACATTAATTTTTATTAATATTAACATTTTATAAACAAAATTTAAATTTTTAAAAATATTACAAAAATCATCAGTTTTCACCATGGTTTATAATCTGATTCCAGAAAGTGCTTACTGCAGACAACTGACCAGTCACTTGGCTTCCAAAGTTTTGAACTGTTTTCATCTGTAAATTTTAAAAAGAGTTAGCTTATACAGTAAATCTATTAGTTATACTATCTATAAATAATTTGTAAGCATAAATAGATAAATTGTACAAAAGTTTAAAAAATATAGCCTACAAAAGTTTTAAAATATAGCCTAATCTCATTGCAATTAGGAGTCGTGCAAAAACAGTACTTGTCCTCATTAAGGGGGGAGTTATATGTATTTAATTTTTTGTATTTAAAAAGCTGAAATTAAGTGCTTTTCAAATACACCCATGTAGTTTTTAGCAATGTCTTTCTACTGTTTTTGAAATATCCGAGAAATTCGATAAAAGAAAGTACTGTAATATATAAATTTTCGGGGGTTGAAATTTTCCATGTGCTTTTTTAGGGGGGTTTTATAAAAGCCACAAAAGATCACAATGGGGAAGGGAAGGTAAGATTTGGGAAATATGGGGACACGTGGTTTTTGCACAAACCCTTACAGCATATTAAATAATTGCAAAAGTAGCATCAATGGATATAGCATAGATGTTATAATTTTTCCTACATTATTTAATTATGGAGCATTAAATAAATCTTACCTTTTCTGCTGACAACTTTTATCCATTTTAAACGTAAATTCTCTTCCGCGGGATATTCGTGAAAACTTGTTCCATCTTTTTTCGATTTGTTTGATGTACAAAATGACACAGAACAATGAACCATTTTAAATCAAACCTTTTAAAAATATAAAATATTTTCGAAATTTTAATTTTTTTAAATCTATCATAAGCACGTCTTTGCAACAGAATTACCATTGATCACTTGATCGAATAGTCCGGTCATCAGCGCTCCTAGTGAGGATTATGTGCAAACCGCCTCAGGAATCGACACACGTATTCAAAGCAAATGGCTAGGCTGTTCTTATTGTAGGCTGTGGTACACTCAGCCTTTGGTGGGCTCAGTTTTATTCAAGTAAATTTATGTAAGGCAGACCCATCATATATGAGTAAATTATAATATACATACTGTATTTACTTGTATATAAGACAAGGTTTTTATTCATTTTTCACTGCTTCAAAAACCTATGTCATCCTATACACACAAGCAAAGAATTTTTAGCATTTTGCAATAAATTTTGTAAATCGTGTATTTCCATTTTTTACAGGATGCTCACCCTCTAGTGTTTAAAACAAAAGCATTTTATCAGGGTAGTTTGAATCGTTCTTGTGTATTGTCAGGAGTANAAACGAATTAGTTAGAAAACAAATGACTATTAAGTTTAACATATTTAGATTTTTACAGCTATAGTGAGAAACGTTTAAAATTTACAACAACCCTGTCGTGTCCTTTGAGATATACTAGTGATGCGACAAAAGAGGTATTTGACATTGACCGGTATCGGCACCCTGAAAATTTGGCAGTCCGCGTGTATGCACGCTGTGTAATCGTCTTCGATTCTGTCCATTAGCCACTCGTAGGGAGCTATTTGACTGTGCATTGTTTTAAGATTTAAAAAGTAAAGAATATTTTATATTTTTATGTACGTTTCTTTGCAAAGCTATATTTAATTATAATTTTCTTTAAAAGTATATTCATATAATTGAAGAATATTTTGTATGTACCAGTACATCCACCACATATTTTATTTCACCGAGTAAGTTTTTATTATTTAATTTTTAATTGTAGCCCTTATATCGTGGCTAGTGATTCGGAGTGTAATTATGATATTAAAAATGCATTTAGAGAAGTCTATGGTTTTTACTGGCTTATCGAATAAACGATACGAATGGACCCTAGACCATCACTGATGCGCAATTGACTGATTGCCCCTGGATGTCGGCTTCTTACAGAAACATAGCTTCCCTATCATCAAATATCATGGCACGCCCCTGTACAGTAAGGCATCCTTTTATGATCTCTCCTTTTATGAAAGTTTGCATTAGGAAACATTTCAAAATCAATAGCAAAAATTCAAGAACATAACAAAAGATGAAAAACAAAAACTATAAATGTAATATGTTGGCACATAATATTATGATTATTAATAATTATCTGTCATAAAGCTGCACCATAATATCATCCTGAAATCATTTTAAACATTAAAAAGGCATTTAAATTGAACATTTCTTATCAACAAAGCTAATTTGCACTGATGTGACTGTTGAGCAGTATAACAAAAAACAGTTATTGATGTATAACCCATTGTGTAATCCATTTGCAATGATTTCTAATTGTTTTTTGAGACTGAAAATGTAAGATGTTATTGATTATAAGATGCAACTGTATTTTAGATTGGTGAAAATAAGTAAAAAGTATATCAGAATTGAGGAAATACAGTATTTCATCTACTTTTAACTGTAAAATATATTATATTTCAACACAGAAAATAGTTACATAATTTGAAACACAATATGAAAAAATCTTAACGTGTAGAGTAGTCAAATGTAATTTTGAAGTGATTCAGAAATAGTCAACATTGAAGATATTGCTTTAATTTCTGTGTTTATAGTTTCCATCTTGTAAATTGTTAATTCAGTATTAAAGAAAATACAGGTAACCCCCGTATAACACGGCACTTCTATAGTACGGATTCACTCTAGCACAGTTTGAGAATTGGGTAAAACCCTCATAAAACATGAAATGTAATAAATTTTTACATACTTAAGTACTAATAGTTCACAAAAATTATTATTTTTGTGAACTATTAGTACTTAAGTATGTAAATTTTCTTTTCTCGCCTTCTGTCGATATACATGGTCCTTCTTGAAACTTGTTTCAATGTTGCCAGATGTTTTCCCCTTATTCCATACTTGTTTTATTCTTCATAAGTGCTTAGCACCATATAAGGAAATTTATAAAGATCTTTTAACTAGAAGCAAGCAATCTAAAATTACACACTTTTTGCAAAAGGTAAAGCATGGATCTGAAGATAATGCAGAAAAATGCTCAGAGGATAAGGATAACTTGCCAAAAAGAAAACGCTCTCAGTTAATAGTGCTTTTAGTGATGATGAAGGAAACATTGTTTAATTTATATTAATATGTATCACTTAAGAAAATTTTAATAAAGATATTTATCTTAATTATGAAAATATAATAGCATGTTTTTTAATTTTTGGAACCTAACCCTCCTTTTTGTACTAGTTCTTTGTTTCGTATAACACGGATTAGCATAACAGCAATTTTTTGGAATGTAACTCCCGTGTTATATGAGGGTTACCTGTATATTCATTAATATGACTTTTCTAATATATCTAATCTATATATATATATGTAGACATGAGCTCCAAAATTTCTTTTGAAAACTATATATACTGTATATTTTTGTTTTATCCAAAGCTTCATCAAGTAAATAAGGGCATGTTCATAAAGTCGAACGAGTTAAACGAGAATGACGTCATCATTATTCTTATTTTGTTAGACAATTCGAACAATTCGTTTAGAACTAAATGGCTGTTTCTAAAATCGAAGATACGAATGTTGCTAGTACAGCCTTATCTGAAATATTTTTCTTAGATTGCTTCGAGTGGACAGTTACTTCAATCATTTTATCTTTTAATTCACAATTTAAACACTCGAGTAGATTTAGAAACGTCGATATCGTCGGGCGCCATTTTCTTAATGAAGTAAACCAACTCTTTCCTTCGTGAACTTCATTAGAGTTTCGTTCGAAACGTCATCACCGCAGAGCATGTGCACTGAGCGAGACTACTACTATTCGAACGATTCGTTACTAACGCGTTTAACTCGTTTTACTTTATGAACATACCCAAAGTCATGTAATACATTTGAACAGAATCTCAGTCAGACCTTGCATCATTTGAAAGTGAATAAATAAGAATAAATTTGTAGTGTTTAACATTTTAGATTTTATTTTCTAATTTTATATAAAATCATCATCTTTATATGAGAGAATATTTAATTACTTTTATCTTATCTTTGTTATTTAATTAATTGCATTTTTTATATTTATCAATGATTTTTTTAATAATGAATTATTGGTTGATATATCAATTTCAGACAATAATTGAATGTTTAAAGTACATGACTACTGGAGATATGCCACCAAATAGTGGTCGAGATGGTTCTTTTGTACATGATCCAAAGGTAAATTGAATTCTGATACATACAGTGGTACCTCAGGATACGAAATTAATCCGTTCCAAAACTGAGATTGTATCATGAAAATGTCGTAAGGTGAATCATTTTTCCCCATAGGATTACATGTAAAACCAAATAATTCGTTCCAACACAAAAACATACTCAAATTAAAGCTAAGTAGTACATTGAAAAAAATAACTTTAGTAAGGAAAACACTGAAAAATGCGTTTTGTAGTTGAAAATGTATAAATAGCCATAATAGAATAATCTATATATATAAAAATGAATGTATGTCTGTCTGTGTGTCTGTGTATCTGTCTTATGTCCTTCATGCATTACCACACCGTTTATCTGATTACCATGAAACTTTGGGAAGTTGTTTAATATATTCCCGCACAGTTTTCTGGCATAGTTCGATTGCCATGAAGCTTTGGGAAGTTTTTAAATACACTCCTGCGAAGGTTTCTGGCATTTATCCTACGATAGAGGGCGCGTGTTTACATGAGCATTTGAGCACTGTGTGTTCGATCAATTTCAAATTGTGAAGACCATTTCCCCCTTTCAAAGAATATCTCTATATATGCATTTGTGAACTGTTATTTACGATATTTGTAATAATCTATATATATAAAAATGAATGTGTGTGTGTGTGTCTGTCCTTCATGCATTACCACACCGTTTATCCGATTGCTGTGAAACTTTGGGAAGTTGTTTAATATACTCCGGCAAAGGTTTGTGGCATAGTATGATTGCCATAAAACTTCGGAAAGTTTTTTAATACACTCCCGCGAAGGTTTTTGGCATAGTACATTTATCCTACGATAGATGGCGCGCGTTTACACGAGCATTCGAGCACAGTGTGTTCGATCGATTTCAAATTGTGAAGACCATTTCCCCCTTCAAAAAATATTTCTATATATGCATTTGTGAACTGTTATTTACGATATTCGTAATAATGTTTGTTTAATCACTTTATTTCAACTTTTTTTTGCTAATTACGTATTCGCTCGAACTTTGTTAAAACTTTAACTGTATACCGAACAACAACCGAAGTTGTAGAAGGAAATTCGCCTATTTTACCGATCTAGGGATCCCCTTTTCCAAATTTTAATATCATCTAATAATTTAAAAAGACAAATTACAATAAAACGGTTTATTATCCAACTATCAGAAATTTCACAACATGCCAAGGAAGAGAGGAAGGAGCAATTAAATAATTAAAATTATAAAGGATTTAAAAATATATATAAAAATGGGGAATATCGCACTTCTGACAATCGCAGCGAGTGTGTGGGCTAAATTTGGAGAATCCGTGCTTCTCGCATGGACAACTGTATGTGGCCGGCTCACGCGTCGAAAAACCTTCCGATTTATTCGTGTACGCACCAGACGGAAAAACAAAAAATATCGTGTATCCACAAACACTCCAATAAATAAATAGAATTGAAACGACACTTTGAAATGTTTTCCCGATGAAAATTAATAATAATAATAAGTTTCAATAAAAATAATAAAATGTAAATTGAATTTTATCATAACGAGTTTGCTTGAATTTCCTTTCTTCTGAGATCGCAGCAATGCACGATGGGTAAGCTAGTCTATATATATAAAAATGAATGTATGTCTGTCTGTGTGTCTGTCTTATGTCCTTCATGCATTACCACACTGTTTATCCGATTGCCATGAAACTTTGGGAAGTTGTTTAATATACTCCCGCGCAGGTTTCTGGCATAGTACGATTGCCATAAAACTTCGGAAAGTTTTTTAATACACTCCCGCGAAGGTTTCTGGCATTTATCCTACAATAGATGGCGCGCATTTACATGAGCATTTGAGCACTGTGTGTTCGATCAATTTCAAATTGTGAAGACCATTTCCCTCTTTCAAAGAATATCTCTATATATGCATTTGTGAACTGTTATTTACGATATTTGTAATCATTTTTGTTTAATCACTTTATTTCAACTTTTTTTTGCTAATTATGTATTCGCTCGAACTTCTTTAAAACCTTAACTGTACCCCGAACAACAACCGAAGTTGTAGGAAGAAATTTGTGTATTTTAACGATCTAGGTATCCCCCTTTTCCAAATTTTAATATCGACTCAAAATAATTTAAAAAGACAAATTACAATAAAACGGTTTATTATCCAACTATCAGAAATTTCACAACACGCCAAGGAAGAGAGGAAGGAGCAATTAAATAATTAAAATTGTAAAGGATTAAAAAAAATATATAAAAATGGGGAATATCGCACTTCTGACAATCGCTGCGAGTGTGTGGGTTAAATTTGGAGAATCCAGGCTTCTCACATGGACAACTGTATGTGGCTGGCTCACGCGTTGGAATACCTTCTGATTTATTTGTGTATGCATTAGACGGAAAAACAAAAAATATCGTGTATCCACAAGCGCTCCAATAAATAAATAGAATTGAAATGACACTTTGAAATGTTTTTTTGATGAAAATGAATAATAATAATAAGTTTCAATAAAAATAATAAAATGTAAATTGAATTTTATCATAACGAGTTTGCTTGAATTTCCTTTCTTCTGAGATCGCAGCAATGCGCGACGGGTAAGCTAGTAATTGATAAAAAAAATGTAGTTTTATTTGCACTTTAACTTTGAGGATAGATATTGGTGGAGGTGTAAACTGATGGCGGAGGAGAGGGAGAAGAGAAATGATACTAAAACTTAACTTACATAATATAATGTAACAATAACTTAAAAATAACACTAATTTTTTAACTTTTCTGTTTTATATACATTTTTAAAATTTTTATTCACTGCTTTTTGCTTTCTTTCCTTCATTTCCACCAGCACTTTCACTGGATAGAGGTCGCTTGGTAAAATATATATCTAAAGAGGTTTGGCTTTGCCTACTTTTTAAAATGTTTCTAAAATGACTTAGGCAAATATCATTACTCTGAGCAGCAATACGGCCAGTGTGAATCTTTTCGGGATGTTTCTTTTCAATAAAATCAGTCACTTTCTGATAATACTTCAAGATTTCTTTTATCGAGCAAGATCCTTCCGTGACAAAGCAAACAGGCGGACTGAGACCAATGAATCGAAGTGAATAAAAAATGGTGTTACAAACTAATGTAACGTTGTATGGTGAGTTTTTGTTCGTATCGTGGAGCAAAATTATGTTTAAATTTTATGTCGTATCCTGTAAATTTCGTATGCTGGGGCGTTCGTATCCTGTGGTACCACTGTATATAAATTTTGAATGCATTTAAAGTCATTGATTGAAAAGTACTTAAATTGATACTGAAACTTACTTTTACTTGCTATTTAGAGTTAATAAAAACTGAAATGAATGATTTTTATTATAATAAGTGAATATCATATTATTTTGTAAATATAACATTTTGCAAATTAAAATATAATTGCAGTTAGTTAGAAAGAAAAATTTGAAACTGTTGAAAGGAGTCATAAATATTAGATTAACACTTTTTGGAAATGTAAAATTCCAAAAAGTGTTAATCTAATTAAATATTATGATATTCAGACCAGCCATATTCAGCATTAACATTTTGATTTGAAGAGAACAGTTGCTTGTGCTTATAAACTAGACATGGGCAAATGCAGCTCTTTTTGAGTTACATGCGGCTCTTGCTGAAAGTGTTAATTTCTGCTTTTTATTATTGTTTTTATAATTTTATTTTCACAATTTTGTGAAAATATGTTTATTAAAAAAAATCAATGTTTGTTTTATATTATATTTATATTATATAATAAAATCGCGGTACAGAACTGCAGTACAGAATAAAAAAAAAGTACAGAACTGCGGCTCCCATGCATTTTGCAAAACCTACATTTTGGCTCCCACTGAACCTTTGCTTGCCCACCCCTGTTATAAACTTTTGAACCAAATCAATCAATAGCATAAGTTTGAAATTTTATGACATGACATCTATAAACTTACTGGTATACCATAATGGCGTAAGGGGTATACACAATGGAAAAATCAATATCAATCAGTATTCTACATAGTTGGCTATCTATGCAGCATTCAATTTGTCATTATATTTAAATTTAAATATCATAATTGTGTTCCATCTAGAATGAGCAAATGTTAAAATTTAGTATCAATAAACTAATTAAGTGAAGATTAAGACCTTTAAGATGGAGATATTTCTTAAGTGTATGGAGGCTTTGGAACTCTGTAAGTCTAAAAAACAGGGAAAATCAGTGAACATTAAAGTCAAAGACAACATGGCTGATTGAAATAGAACTTATGCTAGTTCAAGACAATGAAACTATACAGCTAAGAAAGCTGAGAAGAAAAAGTCTTATAGGTGTTAGAGAATGCAACCAAGATCAGAAGTAAAGTTGTGTGAAGAACATGCATTGTGACAACAATGGTTGAAGAAGTTATTGTTGATTCTTCTCAATAAACACTAATTCTTAATATTGCAGAGTCTCTGGATTGGAATCACAGGTTGGAATTGGAACTGTTTGGATATTATAGTAGCTGTTGATTTAGACTTTGCTTTGGGTTTTGTTTGCAAGATTGAGCCATTAGTCATTAAATGACTTCAATTTCCCATCATTCCATCAATTATGATGACGATGAACAAAAGTCAAAGACAGACTCTCAATAAAGTCAATATTTATTTAACAGAGCCAGTTTTCAATTATGATGTGCTTTATGTGTCCCTTTCCTGATCCAGATCACAGAAATCTGTAGTGTTAAATATTTAACACCTAGATCTTGATGATTTGTCTGCTTCAGGAGGATGAACTCAAAATATTGTATTTCAAGAAGTTCTGGAATAATTACGAATTCAAAGAAGTATACAGTAATACCTCGACTTACGCTACCCCGACTTACGCGAACCCGGAGTTACGCGATTTTCAAATCTTGTCAATTCGTCTTTTGTTTGAGTGCCATGCAACTTTTGATTACTCACTCCCCCCACACTATTGTTCAGCTTACATGTTTGGATGTGTTGCGTGGAATCAACATATAGCTACAATTTATTTTGTGTTATTTATTTCTGTGTTTGTTATATCTACGGAGACTCGAGAGACTCTATGTGGTGATTTCTTGCAACCGTGAATGAATCAAAAGACGAGATAAGATTAACAAGAACGTTTATTAGCTTACATACACCCGACTTGGATTTTACACAAATTGCGAAATTATACCCCAACTTATGAGAATTCGACTTACGCAGTTGTCGCTTGGTCCCACCTATCGCGTAAGTTTGGGGTATTACTGTATATAATAATAATTCAAGAAGTCTGAAATAATGGCAGACAGTATTTTTAAGAATATAGAATAAATCAAATCATCATAAATTCCATCATGTCAAACCTTAAGGAACAAAACAGTCTTTCCTCACAACTTTTATTAGAGGTTAACAATTAAGACATTCACTTATGATAACATCAGTGAATATTTAAACTGTTTTACATAATAATCACATACACTGAACCAATTTACGGTGTGGTATGATAAAGAACAAAAACTGTTTTTTTGTTGTTTATCGTACCACACTGTAAATTGGTTCAGTGTATGTGGTTATTATGGAGGTGTGGTGAGTAGTTTGTTTTATTGTTTTACATAATTTTGCAGAGGTATAGCCTCTAATAAAAGGTTGACTCTGTGAACGAAGACTGTTTTGTTCCTGGTGATTGGACATTATGGAATTGAAGATGGCTTAGTTCCCTCTATATAGTATTTCTGAAATTCTGAAATAAACTTGAATGTCCAAATGTTGGTAGGTCTAAGAGTTTTATTCATGAGGTGATTGTTATGAAGTGGGCCACCACTACTGTCATCATTGATCCAAATCCCCTGCCAGTTGAAATTGGTCAGCCTTAAGAATGCTAAATTCCCACTCTGGGACCTGGATGCAAAATTGAAAGAAGTTTCATGGCATCAGAGAACAGGCAGATGCAAATCTCCTACAGACAGATCCAGAAAACATTTTGCTGTACTAATGATTTTTGTGTATAATGACAAATTTTATTTGAGGTCATTGATTCCAATGAGCTGGTTGGTATGAATCTATTACACAAAATATCAAGAATGATTAATGTGAGCTACAACATATGCTGATTAGAGTAAGTCAAGATGTTCCCTTTCTCATTTATTGAGTTTATGATGTTTGTATTCCACTCTGTAAGATACTAGCAATAATCTCATGAATAGCACAAAGTAGCTGTGATCCAACATTTTTCAGCAGTTCAACTTGTATGAGGTTTAAACCTGGGACTTTATTGTTTTTTTCTGTATAGTCATTTTGACATAGTTTCAGTCAAATGGTTGTAGGATTTACTAGCCTGTTATGATCTAAAACAGGGATGGTGAATCTATGCACACATGCCCAAAGTGGCACATAAGGAGAAATCATCTGGCTTGTAATGTAACATATTTCAATTTATCATCTGTTTTTTTAATCATCCTTTCAATTTATCACTTGATCATTCTTTTTCAGTCAGCTTTTTAACATTTATTCTAATTAAAGCATATTCATTTAATTTCTTTCAATATCATTATTCAATGTCTAAAACTTTGGCACACATAAACATCTTTAAAGCTAAGTATGCTTTACTATATGGCATGTGTGCTCAAAAAAGTTTGCTATCCCTGATCTAGAGTAAGAATAATTGGCTGGAGAGGTATGGTGTATGTGAGCATGTTGTCAGTGTTTTACCATTAATTGACAATGGTCTGTTTGTCATCCAAGTTAACACCATTCTTATGATCAAGATAATCTGTAGGAAGAGAGAATAAATATGAGTTTAAAGCCATTTTGGTTGGTATTAGTTTTATGGTAAAATGCTTTGCATTCAGATTCTCAACTACCTTGAGTTTACTCTTTTTGGATGCTCCTTTTTTGTTGTTGGAGTCGCCTTTACTTGCAGCTTAGTATTTCTTGGTAGCAGAATTTGTCTGTAGGCATTATTTTTTTTTGTCATTTTTTCACATTTCCTATCCAATCAATCTTTGCACCATAGTCTTTTTCTCTTACATATAAAAATGTTTGCCATTTTACTTATAATATTTTTCAGTTTGATTCATTTATTGTCTAAAGAGTTATCATTTTCTTTCACAGGTATTAGGTGCTTGTCAAGCAGATTGGCAAGTGCAGTTTTTATCTTGATATCTTTTAACTTCTTGCAGTTAAATTTCTGTTCTCCATGTTCTCCAGGTTTCTTTTTTCATTTGAAATTTTTTCACTAATTCTGGCAAACATTAAATGATGATCCAAATCAATGTTCACATTCTTGCATGTTCTAATATCTGTCAAATTGAAATAATGTCTAGCATCCATTATGAGATGGTCAGTTTGTTTATGGGTCTTATCATCTGGTGATCTCCATGTGATCTTACATATGTCTTTATGTTTGAAGTATTTGCTGCCAATAATCATACTGTGTGCTACAGCAAACATTATTAGCTTGATTCCATTAGGTTGTTGAACTCATACTGGATACTGTTTTTTCAGTTACTGGCCTGAATTTACCTTTCTTATTTTTGCATTTAAGTCACCTATCACATTTAAGTCACCTATCAAATTCTAACATCATTATGTGGACATTAATCATACAATTTTAAAATTAATATATAATAAAAGATTAAAATTAACTTAATTTTTGAATGTATATATTAAAATGTTAAATGTTTAAAAAATACAATATATTTCTATAAATCATGAAGTGATTTGTATTTAAATTTAAATATTAAAGCAAATTAATATTTAATAACATTTGTTCTGAATAGGTTGCTCATGAAACCAGTGTTAAAGGACAAATTAAATTACAGTTGAAAGATATGACAAATAAGACAGTTGTAATCACCAGGTCATTAGAAGCAAGTCAAAAAGTGAGTAATGGTGTCAAATTTGGCATTGATCCATAAAACTTCATATTTTTTAACTTTTTTGAATGCATTAAATATTTAATAGGTGAAAAAAGTGGCCCTACGTACATTAGATGGAACAATAAAAAGAAAAAATTCTTCAGGTCAGGTTAGTGAAAGATTTTTTAATTTTAAAACAGATATGCATTTAATAAACTAATTAAATAAATAAAATAAATACTGATATGTATGAGAAGAAAAAATACAGAAAAGATTTTGGAATAGTTTGTTTATAAAGTGCAAACATATTCAAGCATTTTATACATTACAGATAGCCTGGATTGGTAATAGTATGGGATGCCTTGATTCAAACTATTTATGAAAAATTAAAACAAATTTAAATCCAGATCTCTCCTAATAGTAAAAGAATTTGAAAACAACAACAAAAATTTTTAATTTATGATTTTAAAATATATAAATTTAAGTGAAGATAACTGTCAGTTGACTTGAAATATTTTATGAATTTTTTTATGAATATTTTATGAATATTTTATGAATACTTGAAATATTTTATGAATTTTTTAAAATCATGCCTTAATAGTTAGATCATGCAACTATGAATAACTAATCAAATGATTAGGTTTTGATTACTTTATAATAACTGTAATCAGTAACTTGATTAGTTTAGAGAAATATTGTCTGTTTTTTGTCTAATCAAATTTTCAATTAAAATGTAAACTTTTTTCACTTAATACAAGCTTTAAATGCAAGGGGTCTAAAAACAATTGCATTAGTCATCAATAAGAACTTTATACCTTATTTGGAATGAATATTAGTATTTTTAAATTGATATTTGTTTTGATATTTAATTGAATAATTGCATTGATTATGACTATATTTGTTAATAAAATTTATATACTTTTAAAAAATTCAATTTTTTATTTTTATTTTTTCAGAGTACTACATTAAGTTGTAAATGTGGAGATCTCGATAGAGAGGTACAGAATGATTTTTACACAATTTTTAGCATTTTAATTATATTTATTTATTTAATTTAAAATATTTTATTTCTCGAAATAGATCTAAGTACAATTTGTTAACTTAATAATAGATATTTAAATGTTGCTGTTTGAATTCTTAGTTTTACATTTTAAAGGTAATAATAATTAAAATATGTTTAACCTATCCCATGTTGAAAATTTTCTCTATTACGTGTGGCCATCATGTTGAATTTTTGTCAATGTTAAGCCTAATGAAAATTTAAAAAAAAAATAATAATTGTGGCGTTAAAAATTTTTTTTTTATTTTTCACAAACAAAATAGATATATTAATAAATATAAAAACAAAAGAAATTATATTTTCAAAGTTCATTTTAATATAAAAATTATGACACAGCGACATCTAGTATCAAAAACATTTTGATACAGAAATGAATATGTTGGGGGTCAAATGAGGTCAACACAAAAATATTCAGGAACAACAGGACAAGTTAAAATTAATATAATTGTCAGTCACATAGCAATAAAATTTGACACCTATAGTGGAAAGTGAAAAGTGCCTTTATATACTGCAAAAACTATCAAGTCTCAATATTATTTTTCTGATACCTTTTAATTGTCAGCTTTGGCCAGAGCCACGTTGGCCATATTTTTCCTGTGCTATTGATAATAAATATAACATAATTTTACTTTCATTGATTTCATTATTCTTACATTCTTATTATTGCTATAAATGTTAGAAAATATATTAAAAGTTACACTAAGTATTTTACTCTTATGCTTCAGTATATGATAAGATATTTCAGTGAAATTATAAATTTTTATTAAAATCTGTATAATTATTTTTAGATGATTAGTTTATTAGGAGTGTCTGAAGCTGTTTTGAATAATGTAATATTTTGTCATCAAGAAGAATCAAACTGGTAATTAAAATTATATTATTGTAACATTTTTTAAAAATTTCTGTCTTTAATATATTGCATAATTAGTTCCCATGTAATAAAGCATATCATGATATAATGATAATACAAAATAGAAATTGCTGAATATTTTTCATTTTATGAACTATGGAATTTTCAGCCTAAATATTTTGAAAACGTTATCAAATTTAATTGTAAAAATAGAGATTTATATTATTTTATGCCTCATGAAATTTTACCAAACTCTAAAAACAGAAATAATACTGAAATTTCAAAAATTCAGAATATTTGTATATTTTGTTTTTAATGAATTTAAGCTAGTCTCACACACTAAAATAAGATAGTCTTGGATATGGATGCCCAGCGGAAAAAGTATATTTAATTACATAAAGAAACAGAAAAATATAGCCATATATTTCAAAGTTAGGCTTGGTGGAATTGGCAAAAAGCTAAAAACTTAAAATTACAGCGGAATCCTGGTTAACGAACGTAATCCGTTCCATGAGTCCGTTCGTTAACCGAAGCAATTTTTCTCATAGAAATTAATGCAAATACAATTAATCCATTCTAGCTGTCAGTATTTTTGTAATTTTATTTGTAAAATGGGTTTTCTTTAATGAAAATATAGGAAAATGGCTCATAAACAGTCGATCTAGGTTAAATTTTCGGAAAAGGGGAAAGATTTGACTGGTATAGAAACATCACATATGATCATTAAAGTTCTAAAATGACAAATAGCAGAAATAATAGGCTAAATTATGAGCAAAAGGTTTATGGGTTTATCAACAATCTCCAATCAGAGTCAACGAACAGGTGTCAAATAAATGCCTCGGAACAAACCTTTCTCATGACCTGATCTGGTTTCGGTTTTCACCTGGAGACAAAGAAGAAAACAATCGGGAAGCGAGGAATGGGACGCAGGACTAATCGTAAGGTAAGATTCAAGGAAGAAATACTATAAAAACCCCAAATCTCAAGGTCAAAATGCAGTTTTCCTAAAAATTCTATGGCGATTAATCTGTGTCGTCTTCATCTGGATTAAGCCTGAAGTCGTGCCTGCTAAAATTTGTGTTGTGTCTTGTGGACCGCTCCATTCGTTGCAGCTCTATTATCTACCATTGCTTCTGTGACCAAGCGAACCCATCTCGTCCACTCTGGGGCTACGACTGATCAGCTTGTACTATCGTAGGACCAGCGATATGCCACGCCTCAGTGCTGGGAGAAAATACTGTAGATAAGCCATTTCCAACCACCTCAAATATGTAAGCATCTTCCCGTTCTAATAAACGATTTTCACTGTAAAATACTTGTCATCTTTGTCTCCTCCATCACCACCAATGTACGAATGGACCTAGACCATCACTGACACACGATTAACTGACTCCCCTAAAAGTCGGCAAGCTTACAAATTTGACACAAAAGCTGTTAAGTTCGTTATCCAAATTTTGTTTGTTACCTGAGACAAAATTTTTGCAAAATAAAAGTTCGTTAACCGATTTGGTCGTTAACCAGGACATTTGTTAACTGGGTTCCACTGTATTGGTAACACTCAGTATAATGTTATGTTTGATAAATTTTGAAGGAATTTGAAAATTTCAATTTGATTTTCATCTGAAAATAAGAAATTATCTTGAGAATGCTTTTCAGAATTTATAGAAAATACTTTTGTAAAATAAGGAGTTTGAGCTTTATTTTATGTTTTATGTTGTAATAGAATCTTTTCTGAACATTGAAATTAATAAAAAGAAGATATATTAAAACTGAACTTAAAAATATATTAAAAAGTAATCTTTATATCAAATGACAATATAATTGCAATTTAAACTGAAATTATAATAATATGATTTTTAATAAATATAAAATGCTGCATTACTTTTAGGCTTTGGCAAATCATGTTTATGTTTAGCAATAAGGATTGGACTATAGTTTAATTATAAAAATAAATAAAGTTATTTTTTATTTACTTTTAATGTTTTCAAATTGTATTGATCTATAATCATATAGATTACATAATACTATTTTATTATTTTATATTGTAAAATAAAATTACATATTGCTAAATTGATATATTCTTGTGTTCAAATTTTCAAAAGACTTTCAATTCTATAATTATACTTCGTTTTGGACAGATATGTCTTTCTTTCATTTTTTAAAAGCATACACTGATTTTTTCTTTCCACTAACATGTTTTTTTTTTTAATTCTAAAATTTCACAATATGAGATTTTTTAAAATAATAATTAAGTAAAATAATTATTTTAGGCCATTGAGTGAAGGAAAGGCAGTCAAAGAAATATTTGATGAAATATTTGCAGCAACTCGATACATTAAAGCTCTGAAAAGTATTAAAGAAATTCGAACAGAACAGGTATTTTTTCTTATAAGAATTTCTATATATATACTTAATGTCATAAAGCATATTAAAAAAATAAATAAATCTGGTATCATATCTCAGACCTGACCAACTTACANAAAAATTGATTTATGCTGATTATATTTAGAAATATCTGCAAATCAAATTAATGAAATAAGCAGGAATGATGACAATGGGAAGTTCTGATGAAGATGAAAATAATGAAGTATCCTTTCAATCAATGACTTTCCAAATTTTTTAATGAAAATTACTGATATTTTGTATACAAATAAAATTAATAATAAAAGGTTGACTTATATTTGGGTTCTAATTTTTTTTCAAACAGTAAGGATTCCAAAATTGGGAGTTGACTTATATTTAGAAAGTACAGTATTTCTTATTGAACATTTATGAACAGAGAACAGACAAATTATTAAGTTTTTATAATTACCAGAAAGTTGAATATACGAGGGCAGTCTTTTCTCAAGCTTCAGTGGTCCCTAAAACAAAGAAAGTGTAAATAACAAAATTAATTTATTACCAAAAGTTAGGTACAAACATGGTTACTTTTTGACATAATTACTGTGAAGCTTGAGGAATTTGTCATATCTGTAGACAAGCTTTTCTATCCCTTTGTCATAGAATGTTGCCGTCAGTGAATTGAGATGGACTTAACAACATTGTTTTAAAGATTGCCATTAGTCTCAAAACTCTGCCCTGCTAGCTATGTTTTCAGTTCAAGAAAGAGACGGAAGTCTTCACACATTAAAAAGTTCCAAGCTGGATGGAAATCTGAAAGGTCTTCTTTACCTTTAAATGCTGGCTGGATGGCTGAGAAGTCAAGGTAGAAGTCTACCACTCTGGGGGACCTGGGATTGAATCCGGACAGATTGAGAAATCCCGAGGAATTTTTTGGGGTGGTCTGACCGGATATGTCGGCCCCTGTTCCTTACCACCCGGCCGCCCTGGCCAAACCCATAATGGGCTTGCTTAAAGAGATCCTCTTAGTGCCCACAGAGTGGAAAGAGTTAAAAAAAAAGCCTTTAAACACCCAGTGTATAGCCCCAATTTAGAACCGAGTGACTTCCACCCATTTCCTGAACAGAAAAAGTATCTAGGAGGGCAGAGGTTCGAGACTAATGACAATCTTCAAAACAACATTAGGGCCCATTTCAAGTCACTGGCGGCAACATTCTATGAAGAGGGGATGGAAAAGCTCATCCACAGATATGACAAATGCCTCAATCTTCACGGTGATTATGTTGAAAAATAATATGTTTATACCTAACTTTTGGTAATAAATTCATTTTATCTACATTTGTTTTTTTTATGGACTATAGGAACTTAAAAAAAACAGCCTATGTAGATATTTATGATATAAATATTTTAAAATTGAAAAATTCAATAAATGAGAGTTTCAGACATGTCTGTGAAACATTTATAAATATTGATAAATATAATAGAAATAAACAAGAATTATCTTTAGATATTCAATATTTAAAATTTTCTGTGTAATGCAATCTATGGAAAGGTACCTAAATATGGAAAAGTAAATTTGCTGTAGAGCAAAAAGTGCAATCTAAGTACAGTGCATTCTTTAAACTGAACTTAGATTGTTTCTAGTAACATTTGGCAACATTTTAAGCTGTAAACATTTTCTTACATACTACTATTAGTCTGTAGAATAAGATACTATCTAAAAACAAAAATTGATTTTTCTCTGATATTTATTTTTTATTAGATGAAAAATTTATCTACATATAAAGCAGAAATAAAATATCTTAAAGAGAATAAAGAAGAATCTGATAAGGTATTGAAAATTATTCTAGTTTTGTGGTAGATATGTAGATATATTTTATTATGCATGAGAAAGCACACATACATTCTCAAATTTGAGAATGGATTACTTGGAACTGTCCTGTGCAGCCTGCAGACCTTGTGTAGGAATTAAATTAAATTTTTAGTGCAATTGTAAATAATGATTGCTTTTGAATGATTGACCAAACTAAGCCAATTGTTTGTTATTGAATTTAGCAGAATCAGTCAGTTTTGGTAATTTCTGCAGAAATTTTATTTTGTTAACTTTTTTTATTTTACTCCTAAGAGTCTTTACTAAATGAGCAATCATCAAAAATTGAGGAATATCAAAAATTTATCACAAAATTTATTCTGCTGTAAAGTATAAATTTCTATTATAACCATATTGAATACATAAATTTATAATTACATGTTTCAGACTTTATAAAAATGTTTTAGACAGTTATAGAAAAAATGAGATAAGTGAAAACAAAATGAAGTTTCAGTTTCTTTTTCAATAGGAAAGTACATAAAACTGGAAGTACACTTTCCAGAATACATGTTAAGTATGCAAATAAGTCGACTTTCCTGGCATGATTTAGATGCTGGGTAGCTAATACTAGGCACATAAAATATTGTTTTATGTGCCTAGTATTAGTGCCATTAATTTTATTTTTATTGATATTGATAAAAAAGCAGCAGTAAGTTACAGTTTGTTACTTATATGCATTGGAAACCTATATTATATTTCTTTCTATAAAACAAACTTTTTGAGTAGAATTTTCCAATTAATTGGGCTGCAATTTGAAAAATTGTAGACCTGTAAATTCCCACTGTGGATGGCTTGGATAATGGTTTTCTATCCCGAAAAGTCAGGATTCTTTTGTCAGGTCGAGTGGAGGAGATGTGAGGGGTCGTCGGTAAGGTGTTGACAATATTCAAATTAAATACACTTTTTAACAACAAAACAAACATTTATTAGACAAAACTAGAAACTAACAAAGAGATTATGGACCATTCACGCAGATTTGGAAGGGCCGCGCCGAAAGAGAGTTCACAATACTTTTGGGGTAGCATACCTCTGGTTGATTCAACGTCGGGTAAGGTATCGATTTGGATAAAGGTGGAGTCTTCAGTCGATTAGGTCTTCTCGGGAAAGGTCCTCTGCAACGTCTCCTTGGGGATTGAAGAGATTGGTCGGTTAGGTTGGTCGGCGTAAAGATCGGTCTTGGAAGAGCGGTGATAACGGACTTGTTCACGAACGGCGAAGTCGACCCCCCTTCGGTGGTCGTCCCTCTTTTATATCTTTGGAAGATCTTCTATCACATTATCTCTTTACACCAATCGCAGATATCTTCGAATAAGATCCTGGTGATTCAGCTTCAGGTTCTGGAGGGAAAGGAAGTTACTCCGGGGACGGGAAGATGAACATCCGCCTTTAAAAAGTTTCGAAAGAGGGTAAAAATAGAGGGGTTCTTTGTTTAAAATAAATATTTGATTTATTAATTTTGTTGTTTAAAGGTCTCAAATTCGTTTAATTCGATCTGATTTTCATATCTATATACAAACTTTTGATGCAAACTAGAAGTCTTGTTATTTCAATTCAAAAATTTTTTCCTGAAAAGTGTTAGATAGATGACCAGCACAACTCTATTGTTAAAGGAAAAGTATTATGTACAGGGACAAGCCACTACTAATTTGAGGTGGAGAAGATATATTTTAAATTAAATTAATTAAAAATATGATTAAAACTTGCAGCTTGGCATTGTGATGATGTTACAATAAATAATTGCTCATTAGGTATGATTTAAATTCAGTTTGTGCTGAAGCCAAAATTACTACATAAACAATTAAAAATTGATTTATGCTGATTATATTTAGAAATATCTGCAAATCAAATTAATGAAATAAGCAGGAATGATGACAATGGGAAGTTCTGATGAAGATGAAAATAATGAAGTATCCTTTCAATCAATGACTTTCCAAATTTTTTAATGAAAATTACTGATATTTTGTATACAAATAAAATTAATAATAAAAGGTTGACTTATATTTGGGTTCTAATTTTTTTTCAAACAGTAAGGATTCCAAAATTGGGAGTTGACTTATATTTAGAAAGTACAGTATTTCTTATTGAACATTTATGAACAGAGAACAGACAAATTATTAAGTTTTTATAATTACCAGAAAGTTGAATATACGAGGGCAGTCTTTTCTCAAGCTTCAGTGGTCCCTAAAACAAAGAAAGTGTAAATAACAAAATTAATTTATTACCAAAAGTTAGGTACAAACATGGTTACTTTTTGACATAATTACTGTGAAGCTTGAGGAATTTGTCATATCTGTAGACAAGCTTTTCTATCCCTTTGTCATAGAATGTTGCCGTCAGTGAATTGAGATGGACTTAACAACATTGTTTTAAAGATTGCCATTAGTCTCAAAACTCTGCCCTGCTAGCTATGTTTTCAGTTCAAGAAAGAGACGGAAGTCTTCACACATTAAAAAGTTCCAAGCTGGATGGAAATCTGAAAGGTCTTCTTTACCTTTAAATGCTGGCTGGATGGCTGAGAAGTCAAGGTAGAAGTCTACCACTCTGGGGGACCTGGGATTGAATCCGGACAGATCGAGAAATCCCGAGGAATTTTTTGGGGTGGTCCGACCGGATATGTCGGCCCCTGTTCCTTACCACCCGGCCGCCCTGGCCAAACCCATAATGGGCTTGCTTAAAGAGATCCTCTTAGTGCCCACAGAGTGGAAAGAGTTAAAAAAAAAGCCTTTAAACACCCAGTGTATAGCCCCAATTTAGAACCGAGTGACTTCCACCCATTTCCTGAACAGAAAAAGTATCTAGGAGGGCAGAGGTTCGAGACTAATGACAATCTTCAAAACAACATTAGGGCCCATTTCAAGTCACTGGCGGCAACATTCTATGAAGAGGGGATGGAAAAGCTCATCCACAGATATGACAAATGCCTCAATCTTCACGGTGATTATGTTGAAAAATAATATGTTTATACCTAACTTTTGGTAATAAATTCATTTTATCTACATTTGTTTTTTTTATGGACTATAGGAACTTAAAAAAAACAGCCTATGTAGATATTTATGATATAAATATTTTAAAATTGAAAAATTCAATAAATGAGAGTTTCAGACATGTCTGTGAAACATTTATAAATATTGATAAATATAATAGAAATAAACAAGAATTATCTTTAGATATTCAATATTTAAAATTTTCTGTGTAATGCAATCTATGGAAAGGTACCTAAATATGGAAAAGTAAATTTGCTGTAGAGCAAAAAGTGCAATCTAAGTACAGTGCATTCTTTAAACTGAACTTAGATTGTTTCTAGTAACATTTGGCAACATTTTAAGCTGTAAACATTTTCTTACATACTACTATTAGTCTGTAGAATAAGATACTATCTAAAAACAAAAATTGATTTTTCTGACATAAGGTACCTTTTTATAAATTATATTATGATTTAACTAAAATCGAATGTCTTATTTATATATTTTTATTAACGATTAATCTTATACTTTTAAATATCAGTATTTTAATAATTACTATTTACTCAATATAAGATCAATTGAAATATTTTATATGTTTGAATTTTTAAATTTTTTATTTTTTAAGTTGAAAATTGAATTGGAGAATGCAAAAACAAGACTTGTTGCTACAAAAAATAAAATTACAGATATTTCTGAGAGACTTAAGCCAATTGAAGTAAATCAAACATACATATATATTTTTTTTTAAATACTTTTTATAATTTATTTTTCTGATTCATATTCTAAATTATGACATTTATAGAAAGATTTAAAAATTGTTATAAAGCAAGAAACTAACATTAATAAAATCAAAGAAGATAAAGGTAACAAAATTTTTCTTTATTGATAGAAGCTAATGTTAGTTTTGCATTTTAATAAATAAATGATATAAAGAATTATTTTACTTATTTTCTACATTTTATAAATACTTTCTAATTTTTTAGCCAAGCATGAAGGGATAAAAAATGAACTTATTAAACAGAAAAGTGAATTGCAGAAAAATATAAAAGATATGTTTCAAGGTACGAAGCATGAACTAGAATTAAAAATAGAAGAATTTGAAACAAAATTACAGGAAAAGAAAGATTTATTAAAGAAGGTAAAAATTTTTTAATGTATATTTAATTAACCAAAGAATTTTAAATCCATAACAACATTTATTATTACATAAAATATATAATCAAAAAATTTTTGATAAATAGCAGACTTGTTTTAGTAGATTATTAGAAAATGATAAGACATAAAAAATAATATACAACACATACAGTAGTACCTCAGGATATGAAATTAATTCATTCCTAAACTGAGATCATATCATGAAAATGTCGTAAGGTGAATCATTTTTCCTCATATGATTACATGTAAAACCAGTGGTGATATTCAGCGGGTTCGCACAGGTTCGGCCGAACACGTTGTTAACATTTTCAAAGTTTTCCGAACCCGTTGTTAAACACACAGTGGTTTTGTTTCTTTTAAAAAATGTATTAAAATATACGTATTATACTATGTAACACTACTAAACTAGAGCCTTATACCCCGTTCGCCTTGGTGCAACCTCCATCGACCGTTTCAATCTCGACTGAAACGAGGTTCAATCGCGATCAACTTGAGAGTTCTTGAAACTAGGTCCAGTCATACGAGAGGTCCCACAATCCCACGCGCGCGAGAAAATACAAGATGGCTGCGGAGCACGTGTCGGGCTATCAACAGCGAAATAAGAAAGATATTGTATTTCGAGAGACGATGACATCTGTCTATTATTATAATAATACCTAACGATAAAATAAATGATTTAGAAAAGTTTTTCTTGTTTAACTGCTTTCCCTATGACTTTTTCTGATTAAAAAAAAGCCAATTTTTATGTTTATAAAATATTTTGAATGAAAAATATTAAAATATGTACAAAATAAACCATTTTGAACACTTTTTTTTATTATTTATAAAAAAAATATAGTTCTGGCATAAACAATGTTAAATTTTAACTGACTTAATTTTGTGAACGCATCTTTTTTATTTATATGAATATTTTGATGATATGAAACCGTGCTTTACAATTTGTTTATGCTTCTAACACAAGAAAGTGTTATAAATTAAGACACTTTATTGTGTTAGAAGCATAAATATTATATGAATATCTTAAGGTCAGTTTTTGCTCTAATGTTGCTAATGCACCATTTGAGCGAAAAAAAATTGTTAAGGAAAAATTTTCTGTTAGCGAACCCTTTGTTAAATATTTCGAATATCACCACTGTGTAAAACTAAATAATCTATTCCAGCACGAAAAAACGCTAATTAAAATTCAAATTAAAGCTAAGTAGTACATTGAGAAAAAGTAACTTTAGTAAGGAAAACACTGAAAAATGCATTTTGTGGTTGTAAATATATAAATAACCATAATATAATAATAATTGATAAAAAAAAAAAAAATGTAGTTTTATTTGCACTTTGAGGATAGATGATGGTGGATGTGTAAACTGGTGGCAGAGGAGAGGGAGAAGGGAAATGATACTAAAACTAAACTTACATAACATAATGTAACAATAACTTAAAAATAACTTAACACTAATTTTTTTTATCTTTTCTGTTTTATATATTTTTTTAAATTTTTTATTCACTGCTTTTTACATTCTTTCCTTCACTTCCACCAGAACTTTCACTGGATTGAGGTTGCTTGGAAAATATGTATCCAAAGAGGTTTGGCTTTGCCTACTTTTTAAAATGTTTCTAAAATGACTTAGGCAAATGTCATTAAACTGAGCAGCAATACGGCCAGTGTGAACCTTTTCGGGATGTTTCTTTTCAATAAAGTCAATCACTTTCTGATAATACCTCATGATTTTCTCTATCGAGTGAGATCCTTCCACGACGAAGCAAACACGCAGACTGAGACTGATGAACAGAAGGAACACGTGATCATGGCAGTGGCGCTGTGAACTAATTAATTAATTAATGTTGTATGGTGAGTTTTTGTTCATATCGTGGAGCAAAAGCATGTTCAAATTTCATGTTGTATCCTGAAAATTTTGTATGCTGAAGCATTCGTATTCTGAAGTACTACTGTACATTTTTTTTGACCCAAGTTCCTCAAATATCTTGGAATGAAAAAGAACTATGTATTATCTCTTGAGATAGTCCAGTAGTGTGTTTATGAATCAAGAATCTAACTCTTATATCTACTATAAAAATACAGAAGTAAGAGTTAGATTAAATGTATCTAGAATATTAATAATAGTCTTCTCATATAGATTCATAGTTTTGAGAAAAAGATTTTCTGAAATAAAAACAAGCATTGAAAATAAACAAAAAATTCAGCAAATAATTTGGAGATTAGTTACCAATTTTGCACTATTTAAAAACAATATACACCAATAAATTGTTTTGATCTTGAGTAAAACTTTACCCAGAATTATGGAAAATGTTAAACCAAATGATTGCCTTAATTAATTGGGCTATTTTTTGCTACTATTAATAATTAGAAATTAAGTAATTTGGTATTAGAGGTAGATGTTTGGCACATTCTTTTATCTAAATTAATAATTATAATAATTTAATATTTATTAAATAATTTAGAACAGTCTGGAAGAAAAGAATCAGCTTAGAATGGGATTTGAACATGCAACCTTCACTTACCATGTGGTGTGCTGCCAATTATACCATCCAGAACTCTGAGAAATTCTTTACTTCCAGACATCATATTTAAATGTTGATATTGTTTATCTCTAATACCAAATTACTTAATTTCTAATTATTAATAGTAGCTACTAGCATGTTTTTT